TCCTTGTATTTTGTGTTTGCTTTGTTTCCCCCCCCGCCCCCACCCCTAGATTAAAGTACAGGTCACTGATTTTTGGCTCATTCTTATTTTCTAATAGAAGTAGTAAAGTTATAACCTTCCGTCCAATTACTATTTAGATGCATTTCACAAATTTTGGTGTTCTGTTTTTATTCTCATTCAATGAATGCAATTTTCTCACTTTCTGTGTGATTTCTAGACTGGTTCATGAGTTATTTAGAACTGGGTTGTTTAATTTTCTTCTGTTTGGGGATTTTCCAAATATCTACTATTTATTTCTAATTCTGGCATGTTCAGAGAACATATGTACCTTGTATGATTTCAATATTTTATGATTATTTGAGACTTGTTTTATGGTTTATAATATGGTCTATATTGGGAATGTTTTCTGCACAGTTGGGAATAGAACAATCTGCTCTTTTGGGTAGGTGTTTTCCTGATGTAAATTAGGTTCAGATAGTTGCAATGTCATTCAAAAAGTCTATTAGCCAATTTTCTGTTTACTTTTTCTATTAACTACTGAGCAAATAGAGTTGAAATATCCAACTACAATTGTGTATTTGACTATTTCTCATTTTAGTTCTCAGTCTTTTGGTTATTCATTTGTTAATGATATGAGAGAGACATTTAAAATTGCATGTCTCTTTGATCCCTTTATCCTTATTTCTAACTTTATCTCTGATAATATTTCTTGTTCTGAGATCTATTTGGTATCCACTTCAGTGTTCTTTTGGTTTGTGTTTACAAAGTATACATTTTCCTGCATTCTAAAATTTAACTTATTTGTGTTTTATATTTAAAACGGGAGTTTTCTAGGCAGCATACAGCTTAATATTGCTATTCAAAAACTATTCTAAAAATCTGTGACTTTTAATTGTATTGTTTAGACCATTTATTGTAATTATCGATATAGTTGGATTTATATCTATCATTTTGTAATTTGTTTTTGCTTTGTCTTGCTTTTGTCCTCCCCCCTCCGCTTAAATTAATTATATGTCTTCCATTTTTTTCTTCACTTTTTGCTTATTAGCTAGAACTTTTTTTTTCCTTAGAAATTACTCCAGGTCAGCAATTTAAAAACACTTTGGTATCTCAGTCAGGACCCCTTTACAACATATTGTATATCTCAAAGGGCTTTCATATATGTGGAAATATATATATATATATATATATATATATATATGTATACTCATATATGTGTATATATATTTATATGAAATTAAAATTTAGAAACTAAAATATGAATTCATTTAAAAAACTATAATAGCACATTATATACTAACAAATTACATATTTATTTATTTATTTTAATATTTATTTTTTAGATGTAGATGGATATAACACAATGTCTTTATTTCTATATGGTGCTGAGGATATAACCTGAGTCCCACCCGTGCCAGGCAAGTGCTGTACCACTGAGCCACAATCCCAGCCCCCTACATATTTATTAAACATGAATTTGTACAACAAAAAATTACTGATAAATATGGTACTGTTTTTACATTTTTGATAAAGTTCTTTAATTTCTAGTTTAGTAGCTGAATTTACATATATTTTTTGCTCATTCTGTTGTGATATCACATGTCATGACACCTCTGGAAAGCACTGTAAATTTGTGAGATAATGGGACAAAAAAATAAGGTGAATAGCATCCAAGTATTTACTATTAAAATAATTTTAACTTTTTCACTCCTGAAAAGGTCTTAGACTGTACATGGGGAACTTAGATTACATTTTTGAGAAAACTACTGCTCTAAAGTTTGCAACATGGGTTTTTAGCGATAACAGGATACATTTAAATAACATTCTATTCAGTTATAAGACCTATGTTATATTTCCATCTAAACCCTCAATTATTTGTACTCATTACCATATAATTACTTGTATTTTATACACTCCACAAGAAACTTTTGTTATTTTTATTTTAACTAAATTTGAAAGGAAATTTGAAAAGAAATTTGAAAGTTAGGAAAGTTTTCTTTTTAGTATTAGCACAAATACTTACCATTTCTGACATTCTTCATTTCTTTGTGTAGATCCAAGTTTCCATCTGGTATAATTTCCTTTTGCCTGAAGAATTTCCCTTAACAATTCTTTTATTACAGGTCTGCTGCTGATGAATTCTTTTGGTTTTTCTTTCAAAATATTTTATTTCATCTTACTGTTTCAAGAATATTTTCACTAGATAGGGAATTCTAATCTCACACTTTGATCCCTAGCATTGGAAAAAAGAAAAAGAAAGAAAGAAAGAGAAAAATATAAATAAATAATAAAGTGGAGATCTTGCTTAATTATCTTCTGGCTTGCATAGTTTCTGACAATAATTCTAAACTAATTCTGATCTTTGTTCCTTCTTCTTCACTGATTTTTAGCAATTTGACTTCTATGAGCCTTTGGTGGAAATTCTGGTCATGGAGTGTATGCATATGTGTGTGTTTATTCTCTTGGAGTTTGTGGAAATTATAGTTTTCATCACATTTGGAAAATGATCATATGTCTTCACATGTTTTTACCCTCTCCTCTCTCCTAATGACATTTTAAATAGAAGATATTAAACCACTTACTCTTGTACTATATAGGCTACTGAGATGACTTTTTACTTTTGATTTTCAGTGTTAAAAAACCCCTCTGTGCTTCAGTTTGGTTAGGATTTGAGCTCACCAATCTTTATTTATCTGATGCCTAATCTGTTATTAATCCCATCTAGTGAAATTGTGCAAGTATATATTGTATAGGTACATATTATATATTTCCTCTCTAAAGTTCCATTTGGCTCTTTTGTTGTTGTTGCAGCACTTGGGGTAGAACTAGACGTGCATTATCACTGAGCTGCATCCCTGCCCTGCTTTATGTTTTATTTTGAGACAGGGTCTCACTAAGTTGCCCAGGCTGGCCTAGAAGTTGTCATCCTCCTGCCTCAGGCTCCATAGTTGGTAGGATTGCAGGCATATGCTATCACACAGGGGGCTCCATTTGGTTTATTTATTTTTTTAATCTTACATCTCTCTCTTAATTATGTACTTGTCCTAAATGCTTTCTAGAATCATCACCTTTGCCATTTCTAGAGTTGCTTCCATTGACTGATTTTTCCTAATTAGGGATCGAATTCTCCTATCTCTTGGGATGTCTGGTAGTTTTAGACTGGGTGCTGGACATTGTGTTATTACATAGTGGACGGTCTTGTTGTTGTCTGGCAGGTAAGTTACTTGTGGATCAGTTTCCTATCTTTGAGGCCTGTTTTCAGGCTTTGTTTGCCACAGTGGGTCTGTGGTACTTTCCCTCCAGGGACAGTTCTGCCTTACCTGAAATGTGTGTCTCCTCTGAGGTCTCCATTGGATGGTTCGAATATTCACCATTTATTCTCATATTTCATTAGCTTGAGTTCAAAACATTTCTCCACCCTCAGTGAGCTCTAGAAATTGTTCAACTTCTAGCTCTGCCATCTCTCTTTGCTGACATTTATGGAAGGTCCCATGATGTGTGTGCAGACTCCGACTCAGTGAAGGCTTACATGGAGCCCTATGGAGATTTCTAGAGCTCTTTGTCTGTTGAGCTCACTTTATTCCAGAATCCTACTTCACAGTGTCTAGCTGCCTCAGTCTCCCCAAATTCTGATTACTTTCTTGGCTCACAAAGGCTGCCAGGCTTATTTTATTTTTATCTGTTTTTTTTTCCACGGTGGTTTGGAAATTGCCTTCATGTGCAATGCCATTATAATCAGAGAATTATCTTAATTGTTTCTCTTCTCTCAGGGGTAAGAGTCCTGTGCTGCTTGTTGTCCAAAGTACAAGAGCAATTTCATATATCTGGTGTAGGTTTTTGAAAGTAAGAGTCTAGTGTGAATTTTATTCCTTGATCGTGGTTGGAGGTAGGAGTTTAAGTGTTTTAAGTCAACACAACTTCAGTTTTCTTGGCCAATAACAACAACAATAAAAATACATGATGGTGAAATACTTTGGTGAGATATCATCATGCAATGTCTTTTATTCAGTCTTTCTGAATAGTTTCAAAAGACGGTTGGCTGGAGCTTGCATTCCAAGTGTGGCTATAAAATACTGTCTCTTCATGTGATGCTTACTGTCATACATGACCAGCTCTACTTCTTGAGTTCTCAATAACTGAGTTTTATGATTTGGATTCCAGATTCAAAGTGACACCCCATCCCTAATTTAAAAACAAATCTGTAAGTGCTAATCTACACTAGATTTATCTTTCTCAGTCCACATATCTCCCTTGGCTTATGAACCAGCATCTCCTGGGAAGAGATGGCTCATGGTTCAACATTTGACAATTCTGGGTTGAGATATCTCAAGATGTCAACACAGCAGGTATTGGAAAAACTCAAATGGCATTCTGCACTGGAAATTCCATGGTCAAAAGACCAAGTGAGCTGTTGGTTATTGGATCCATTATTGTTAAGAATTATCCAAAGTAAAGTAGGAGTGGTCTATTCCCATTGAAACTTCTTGCTAGAAGAAAACTAAATTATTCCTAGATTTGACATGGAAAAAGGGTGAGAACCAAGGCAATCTTTGGGACCTTTCAGCCTCAAGTTATTTTGAATTTGCTTTTTCAAAAAGCAACTTTATAGATGAGGCAAGCGAGGCACAGAGAGATTAGTAATTTGCCCTATGTCCTATACCTAGTAAATAGCAGGGCCAATATTTTAATCCCTATCTGTTAGATTGCATAGAAGCTCTTGATTTGAATTTGTTATGGTGAAACAGTACTACTCTCTTAATTAAAAAAAAATTAAAAATTCAAATGGCCAATTAAAAAAATGAAACCTTACTACATTCTAGAGACACAGAGAAGAAAATATATTTATTTTGTTCACCACTTAGAAGCCTGAGGAATGATTTAGAACAAATATCCAATGAGTTAGGAAGCACTGTAACTGATACTAAGATTTGGCCTTTTATTGGTATGTTTAATGAGATTAATTAATATGACCTTCTATTTCTTCTTGGGTCAAAACAGGACAGATTTACAGATCGTGTTTGGGCACCATGGAACCTTTAGGTTCCACTTTAACAGCAACTTATGCCCGCCCTCCACCAGCACCAACCAGCTTTCTACCAGCTATCAGCACCCTGGCATCCAGCTACAGGAACTCCTTTCCCCATCGAAATTTTACCCACAGCTTGAGCCTTCCTTGGAGACCCAGCACATACTACAAAGTTGCCTCCAACTTTCCGACCTTGGGCCCATACTGCACCAGATCACAGAGGGTGTCAGAGAGCAGTATGCTTCCCTTTGTTTCCAACAGAACCACTCTCTTCACAAGATATACTCCTGATGATTGGTACAGGTCCAATTTAACCAACTTCCAAGAGTCTAATACATCCCGGCACAATTCAGAGAGACTCAGAGTAGACACATCTCGCCTCATTCAAGACAAGTACCAACAAACAAGAAAAACCCAGGCCGACACCACCCAAAATTTGGGAGAACGTGTCAATGACATAGGATTTTGGAAATCTGAAATCACTCATGAGTTGGATGAAATGATTGGGGAGACAAATGCACTTACTGATGTTAAGAAAAGATTGGAGAGGGCTTTGGCGGAGTCTGAAGCCCCCCTTCAGGTAACTATAGAGTTTACGATAAAAGGCATTGCATTTTGATGATTATAGCCCAACTGGTTGAATTTCTGAGGTTATTTATGTTTTTATCAGATTATGCTTTATTTCACTTGTAGACACAATCCCCTACCGATGAATCTGTAACTGGTTTCAATTATGGTAAAACCATTGCCATTTCAACACACTATGCAACCACCTTAAGTTCTCAATGCAAAGCAGGTAAGACTAATTAAGGAGACTTCATTAGAATGTACAATGTTTGGGGTGAAAATACCATCTTAATTCTTAGAAAGCCTTCTTAATCCCTGCTGTCCCTAGATAAAGATTAAAAATATTTAAGGAAAAGAATTTTATTCTCTTAGTTTGTGTCATGAGCTGCCTCCTGTATACATGTTGTGATTCTGTTTCAGGGGACAAATTGTCAAATGAGACCACTTTATGAAATAGAGTGACCTTTTAAAATAGAGACATGGGACTGAGGTTAGGACAACTGCCATGGTCATAGAGGCAGTTTCCAGTTAGTTACTAGTCTCCTAACTGGCTTTTGAGTGAGCTCAAATCATGTCCAACCCTTGCACCACATGATAGGTCCTCCAATCCCATGCTGCCCTCCACCATCGAAAGAGGACATTCCATATTTCAATATGTGCAAATCATAGAAGTTATTATGGAAGTTGTATACATTTTGATGAGCATAGCTAACGTCTTCATGTTTGCATGAGTTATTTCCTTGTGAAAAGCATTTGCAGTGAGTCTTTAATATGGTACCTGTAGGTAGGAGAGTTTGGAGAGCAAGGAGCTGGAATGTATAGTTGTTTAAGGAGTTTGTTGAGCATCCTACACACTGTCACTTCCTGTCAAACCCCCTCCCCACTAACCACAAGCACACACAAACAAAACTCCCAGAATCTGGACGAAGGTTGGTAGGCACAAACATTAGTAGTACACTAATGGTGATTTTTAAAAATTAATTCATTCTGAATTGAAGGCCTCCTATACTTCCTCTGAGTCCCAGTTCATATTGAAGATTATTGTTTATTCCATAGCCCCCACCCTACCTTCATGGATTGAAAGTATCCTTAAAATGATAGTTGTTTGTCCTCTTAATTTTTAGATGAGATTTAGTGATGATTTTTAGTAAGATGATTCTAATTTCAGTTTTTGTCTGGATGTTCTTGTATGCTTGAACACTTACTGTCAAAACAGAATCAGAAGGTTCTCATTAAAATTAGAGTTAGTTGCATAAACACAAATCTCAAAACAAAATATAGATGATCAGCTATATAAGGAAAAATGCTAAATTTAATAAGACAACATTAAATCAATGTGGTGAACATCTTTGGCCTATTAGATTTTTGGTAGTAAAAACTTATAACATCTAAGATTGGCAAAGGAGCAGAAAACAGGTACTTTTTGGGCTGGGGATGTGGCTCAAGAGGTAGCGCACTCGCCTGGCATGCATGCGGCCCGGGTTCGATCCTCAGCACCACATACAAACGAAAGATGTTGTGTCCTCCGAAAACTAAAAAATACATATTAAAATTCTCTCTCTCTCTTTAAAAAAAAGAAACAAAAAACAGGTACTTTATATAGATTACTGGTGGGACCATGGGTTGGTAGAAATTTTTCTGGAAAATAATTTAGTAATATAACCTAAAATAATCAAGAGTTCTCCTGGACCATTAATTCTCCTTCTACTAAGTATAAGTTATATTAAATAATGAGAGATACATGCAAAGATATTGTTCAATTATATCTGGATTATAGTGTACATACTTTCATATTTTATGCTTTTAAAAAATTTAACATTATACAGTACTCTCATGTCATAAAATAGTTTTTCAAAAAAGCATTTTAACAGCTACATAATGTTCTTTCATACATTATTTACCAGTAGCAATCCAAGTTTTTTTTCCATTGGAGTCATTAACATACTCTGTCTCAAAGCATACTTTGTTACAGGGGTCTACTATTTAATGTCAATTATAAAGCATTACATAAAATTGCATTACATAAAATTACATTTAAAAAAATAAAACAGAACAATGACAGAAATATGGTCAAGACTTATTTTCTATATTTTTCTCCTTAATAAAAGTATATTATTTTTGTAATTAGGAAATAATAAATGACACTTTAAAAGCAATCCCTTGAAGTTTTGGCTACACATATATTTGATATCTTGAAAAATGATCATTCATTTCTTCCTTACTCTTCTCCTTAGAAAATATTTGGAAATAATATCTTTAAGTCTATGTTTCATGTTATAGAAATATTTCTCTTGAACAAACTAAGGCTGGCTAACTTTCTCAGATGCTATTGTGGAGATCGAATAGAGGTCATCTGCTTAATTTTGTCAACCTTCCAAATTGGGAATTTTTTCAAGATATGATTATTATTATTATTACCGGTACCAGGGATTGAACTCAGGGGCACTCAGCCCCTGGGCCACATCCCCAGCCCTATTTTGTATTTTTAGAGACAGGGTCTCACTGAGTTGCTTAGTGCCTTGCTTTTGCTGAGGCTGGCTTTGAACTTTTGATCCTCCTGCCTCAGCCTCCTGAGCCTCTGGGATTATAAGTGTGCATCTCTGCACCCGGCTTTTCACGTTATTTTGAAGAGCTAATTCTTTATCTTTTAACTAGCACAAAGATTTTCTTAGTTCCACTGTCATTTTCATGCTAGAGTCTCACAAAATGGTTTCAAAAGTTGCTATTGGGAGCGTCTATTGACATTTATTAAACATTATTTTAGAACTGATAGACACTGGTTATGGTCAGCTTAAATTGACATATTCTATTATTTCTTGATCTCTAGGTTGCTCGAGAATGTCTCTTTCATCGAGAGAAGAGAATGGGAATTGATCTAGTTCATGACGAAGTTGAGAAACAACTGCTGACGGTAAATATGAGGGAAATGCTTCCATAATGAGAAGTTCAGTAATTAACTTGTGTTTTTAATGTAGAAATAAAATGCTGTTACATAAAGTCACTTATAAGAGCATACCAGATGTCTATAGCACTTAAAAAGGTAGATTTTTCATGTTTTAAAGGTAACACGTGTTAACTGGGGATTTGAAAATATAGAAAATAATAAAGATAAACATTGCTTGCAGCTTCACTGGACAGAAATTGGCATCAATTTTGGAGTGTTTCATTTTATTAAACATGCTTAGACACACCAACCAACTCACACAATGGCACACTGACATGGGTTAAAGATTAGGATCATGCTGTGTTTATGAATTTCCATAGTGTTTTATTTAGAGTTATATTGGGATAATTTTCTTTTATCATTAGATTTTGTTTGAATATATTATTTTTAGTGTTACAGCATTCCACAATGTAAAGGTGCTTACCATTTTTTAAAAAGTTGATCCTCTCTTAGAGTAGTTAGGTTGTTTCCTTCTGCCACTCTTTCTCAATTTTAGTTACATACGGCAGTATGTAAAATTATTACTATTGATAACTGTGTAACTGTACACACTTCTGTTACCTCTTTAGATTACATTTCAGGAAATGTAAAAGGGAATATGTATTTGGAAGAAAAAAAGCCTTTTTACATCCGAAAATTGCCACCCAGAAGCTGAGAGTTGTATCTGAACGATTCTGCTGAATTCTCTCTTCCACAGTCTCTCTTCCTCCTTCCACTCATTAATCTTGATTTATTTCTGAGTTCTCTGATCTTGACTTTCTGGACTAGTCACCATGAGATCTCTGCCTTTAAGATTTCAGCCATTATGCACTTGAGGCCCTTCCCAATTTCTTTCTCCTGCCCAGATATTTTCTTAAGCATGAGTTTTACATCCCTAGGTGTCTCAACATATTTTTTTAATGTTTTGTTGAACAGGTATCAGTTGTACTTATTGATGGGTTTCAGTGTGATATTTCCACCCAGGCAAACAGCATACACTGATCTATCCCAATCTCCCTTCATCCTCCTGGCTCCTTCTCAACCTGCTGTACTCTGTTGTCTACCCCTTTCTGTTGATGGTTCCAGTGTTCTCACATAGTCACGGTTTGGGGTGCAGCCACGGTCTCTTCAATCCCTTTAATAAGCGTTCAGTTCTTCTTTCCAGCTGGGTACTGGGAAATTCCCAGACCCTTTCCTTTCCCAAATTCTACTAGACAATATATATTGTCACCAATTTCTTCCTTGAGATAAAAAAACTGTTCCCTGACACTCTAATTCCTATAGGAGAAAACCACCAAGGCCTTCTGGTTGCTGGCTCCCATCTAACATCTCAGCTTTGTTTCCCTTTCTGAATCATGACAGTTCTGCTGTGAGTCTGTCTTCTTCATCCCTGAACTAGGTTTGCAGGGTTCCACCTCTTTGCCTTTGTTCGACTGATCCTTGGTAAGAATGAGTCCTTGATGATGATCTAACAATGTGGTCTTCCGAGTAATTACATCTTTATATTTTATTGGTGCCCTAGTCTTTTTTCATTAACTCATTACATTAAGAAGGATAAGCATGAGCTGGGTTATAACTTGGTGATAAAGCACTTGCCTAGGATGTGGAGGCCTTGATTTGATCCTTAGCACCACCTACAAATAAATAAATAAATAAATAAAGGTATTTTAAAAAATGATAAGCAAAAGTTTTTTCTTTGCTCTTTCCTTTCTTTCACTGTCTGATTCTCTGAGAGAAATATGAACTGAAAAAATAAATTCAGGAAATCTTTGGCCACTACAGGAAGTCTATGCACGTTACTTGTAAAAATCATGGTCCCTCCTGTTGCATGGGAGTAATTATGAATAGGAAATCCTGAATGAAATGGCTTTGCATTAATGGGTCCCTGATCTGTTGTTTCTCTTTTCCCAGCTTCTGATGAATCTTGCGATTCTTAAAATAATCTGTCATGTACTTTGTCATCTTAAATGGGAAGGAATTTACCAGAATCTGTTCTTTGGCCTTTTGTTCTCACTGATCCTGAGATGTCCAATGGGAAGAAAACTATAAGCTACTTTTAACAACTACAGTTCAGCAGTTTGCTCATAAACATACATATGGTGTTTTCAAGAGATGTTTTTTGAAACTTGGCTATCATTAGCATTTCTATTATTCTGGGAGTGGCCCTCAAACATGCCTTTACATTAGAATCATGTGATGAAGTTTTTAAAAATATCAGTGACTGGGTCTTTTCCCCAGAGATTTTGATTGAGATCTGGAATGGGGACTAAGCATGAATGGTTTTCAAATATTACCATGGAAATAGTTTTTAGCTTTTAACCTTAAATTTATTTTTAACTTATACATAAAAACAAGACCTATATATTAACAGGGTAATGTGATGTTTCAATTTATGTATACATTATGCACGTATGTATTGCATCAGGTTCAAATACATGTTTAAGTCAGATTAAACATTTCTATCTCCTCAAACTTTTACCATGCCTGTATAGTAACATTTTCAACATCCTATTTTCTAGATTTTTGAAATGTACATTACATTGTTATCCATAATCACTTGTGCATATTAGATCTTTCAATCCTGTTTAAAGATTGAAATCTCAACACTAGTGAGATGAGAAAACTTCAAATTCAATACTGGGGAAATTATGTAAATTCTACCCTAAGACCTAAGATACAGGGCTGTAAGTGGATGAGATGACTGGAAGCTATTGGGGTTATGATTGTAAGTTTATTTGAGTGAATACTTCTATTGTATATTATAAATTTTGTAAACAAAGTGTCAATTGAATATAGAATATTGAACTTTTACATCATCTTGATAATCATTTTCCCCATTTAAAAAACTTTACAGCTTTGTACAGATAACACCAAGTGTAAAATTTTGAATAAAATATTTATTTTTCCAAAAATAAATCAGAGGGAGTTTGTAATGGATTTTCACATTTTCCAGTAATAGTTTATACTCCACTTAACCAGGAGATACATTAACTAAATGATTTTGTTATCAATATCATATACCTATTCCAATGGTATTACTTTCATAAAGCTATTCTTATAATATCTCAATCTGACCCAGATAATAGTTGCCTTGAAAATCTTAATGAATAGTCAGAATTAAGAACAAGAGCTTCAAAACCACAAAATATTGCTGAAAGAAATGGAAGATGATCTAAATAAATGGACATAACATGTTCATGATTTAGAAGACTTATTGGTGTTAAGAGAACAATATTTCCCAAACTGATCCATAGAGTCAACACAATTTCTATCAAAGTCCCAGCTGACTTCCTAGTGGAAATGGTGAAGTAAATCCTAAAATTCACATGGAAATCTAAGGGATGCCAAATAGTCAAATAATATTGAAAAAGAGGAAAGTTGGAGGATTCTCATTTCCCAATTTCAAAACTTATTGCAGGGCTACAGTACTTAAGACAGTGCAGTATTTTGGGACAGAATTTAAATGTTGAGAAATAAACTTTCATAGTTGCCATCAATTAGCTTTTGACAAGGACGCCAAGACAACTCAGTGAGAAAGGAATGGTTTCCTCAGCAAATGGTGCTTTGGACAATTGGATATTCATGTATGAAAAAATGGAGTTGGATCCTTATATAACACCATATAAAAAATAAGTCAAATGGATCAAATATTTAAATGGAACAGCTAAATTGATGGAGCTCTTGGGAAAAAACTTGCCTATAAATATGTGACATTGAAGAAGGTGTTGCCTCTTAGATATGACACTAAAGCACAAGCAATTAAATAAAAAAGGGGTAAATTGATCATCATCAAAATTAAAATTTTGGTACTTCACAACATGCTCAACAAAGTAAAAAAAAATCTTTGCAGATCATATATCTAGTAAGGGACATGCATCTAGAATATATAAATGACTATTATGATCTTTGGAGAGAAAAATAGCCCATTTAAAAAATGGGCAAGGGATCTGAATACATAGTTCTCCAAGGAGAACATACAAAAGACCAACAAGCCTATGACAAAATGTTCAACATCATTAATTATTGGGAAATGTAAATCAACATCACAATGAAATGTAGCTTCATACCCACTAGTGTGGCTATAACAACAACAACAACAACAAAAATACAGAAAATAACACATGAAACTGTGAAGGAATTAGAACCATTACATAGTGCTGGAAGGAATGTAAAATGAGGCAGTTGCTTGGAAAATGATGGAATGCAGTTACTTTATGATCCAGTAATTCTAATTTTAGGTATCTACCCAAAGAGAAAAAAAAAATGTATACCCTCTCTCCAAAATACTTGTACCTGATTGTTTATTGCAACAATATTCATGACAACCCCAAAGTGAAAAAAACCCACATTTCTATCAGCTGACGAATGGATATATAAAATATGGTATAGTCATACAAGGAATGGTATTGAGCCATGTGCTGACATAGATGATGCTCAAAAGCAGAATGTTAAGTGAAAGAAGTTGGTCACAAAGAACCACATATCGTATAATTTCATTTATATGAAATTTCCACAAAAGGGAATTTTTATAGAGTATGAAGTTAGGTAAGTGATTGCCAGCCTAGACTTGGGGGATGAAAAATTTGGGGGGACAACTAATGGCTGCCTGTTTATTTTATGGGGAGGTAATGAAAATGTGCTGAATATGGTTATGGTGATGAGTTTAACAACTCTGCATATACTCAAAAAAATGAATTGTATACTTCAAATAGTTAAATTAGGACATGTGAATTTTATCTCTATAAAGCTATCTAAAAAGAAGAAACTTTTAGATCTTTTTATCTTTAAGGGTCAATAGCAAAAGTTGCTTTATCTAAAAATTTGAATCTGCAGTTAAAGTAATGGCTCATGAATTGAGGGGGTGCCTTGTCACTGCCAATTAATTCAAGTAGTGAATGTGTCCTGTCACTTATTCAAGATAGTAGGCATATATTTATGATTATGATTATTATTATTATTATTATCATCATCATCACTTTATCAAATAGGTCTCAAGGTTTAGAATGAATAAATGAGCAAAGAAAAGAAAGGCCTACTTTTGAAAGACATGGGCACAGTGAAAATTTTTTTCATGGATTCTATTGGCTATTACATTCAATTTGTGAATCAGGTTGAGAATCCCTAATCCAAAAATCTAAAATCTGAAATGTTCCAGAATCATAAACGTTTTGACATTTCAAGAGGAAAATTCCACACCTCATGTAATAGTCCAGTCAAAACACAGAAATATAACATGCAGTTGTATAAAATTACCTTCAAACCATGTGTATCTGAAATATAAATGGAGCTCGTGTTAGTTTGTGTTTAGACTTGGGTCCCATCCCCAAGATATTTCATTTTGCATATGCAAATATTCCCAATTCTGAAAAAAAAAATCTGAAATCTCAAACACTTCTAATCCAAAGCATTTCTGATAAGAGATGCTCAAATTGGATTTAGCAAACTTTTATACAAGGGCTTCTTTGGGGGAATCTACCATGCTCCCATCTTTAGAGCACTCCCAGACCATGATAATACCCTTCGAGTCTGAAGATAAATGAACCCAGAGAATCATCTCCTATGCAACCCATCCTGGCCTTGCTTGCTCTGGGACACAGGCTAGGCTTTCTACTCACATCTCAGGCTGAGGCTCTGGGCTTGGCCCCAGCTGGCTGGCCAATTTCCTTCCCACAAGTGACTTTCCCTCCTTACTGATGTAGGAGAAAGCACAAACACTCCAACTGCAGAGGCTTATTGAGAATGTGCAAGCAGTGAATTCCAAAGATGGAGAGACATCCCAGCATTTCAGCCCAGCACAGCCCTGATCCCAGGATGGAAAGAAATTTGGGTGGGTTCTGACCACCAGTAATAAGAACTGCTCTCCTCACATATGTTTCCTCCCAATGGTCCATATTTCTTAGCTGAAAGTAGAGCAGAGCTCCCTTCTAAAGTGAAGCTTAAATTCTAACATCATGCAAATTGCTCTTCTTGCAACATCAAAAGACCTAACACTTTCTGAGCACTTACCATCTGCCGGGCACATCATTATCTACCCAACAGCCTTGGAAAAGGTATTATTACCCTTAGTTTATAACTTGACTTTGGTCACAGTTTAGCAAATGGAAAAGCCAGCATTTGAACTAGCACTGTCTGATGCCAGCATGTCTTTAGCCACTCTTCCACCCAAGACCTGGGAGTGTGAGGCAACAGAGGAGATGTTTAGCAAGACTTTGCAGTCTGTATTCTACCTCCCTCACCCTTGTCCAGAGAATACAGTTGCCAGCCATAGGTGAATTGTAATGAGAGATGCTTCACAGAAATTTCAACTGCTCAAATGGTAGGATAAATGGAAGGTTCTTCAAACATCTGGACACGATTCCTTATTGCACTTTCATCCAGAGCTCTACAAAATAGGTCACATTTTAATCATTTTGGCCATTGAGATTCCGAGAATCTCAGAGAAGTAGCCAGCGGCATGCCATTCATGGAGTCCATTATTCCTCACCAAGTCAGGATCCAGAAGTGTTGGAACCACTGTCCAGCCTCGTAAATATGCAGTTCTCAAATGCTGCGCCAGCACCTTCGCTTCCCGAGGTGGAGGCTGCAGACACAGGTCTACTGGATCCAGGCTTCTCCCACACTTTTGCCTTCTGTGTGTACCCACTTTCTTCTGAAAGTCTTCTTCTTGTAAGCCGGTAAGGGAATGCTTTGCCCTCCATTTACTTCTGCTATGGTATTTCAAGGTCACCTCTATGTTTGAACATAGACTGATAAGTTAACATGGGGGACAGCTCCAGGGGTCTTTGGGTTCTCATGATCCCTCTGCCCCCACCATTCTGACATTCACTATATGACATTATTTAAATGCAGATGAAAAATTATTATTAAATTTTAAAAAAAATATATCAAGAGTCTCATTAAATGCATTTTCCCCCACTAAAAGTCCAAGGAGAATTTCCTCTATGTGCTGTGTGAAAACTGTGGGGTTTTAAATGGTGTTGGCAAGGAGGACTACTTACATCCTTTACCAGCATCTCATTCATCACTACACACACACACACACACACACACACACACACACACACACACAAAGTCATTGAGACAGATGAAATAGAGCAACACAAAAATTCAAGTTTAATGTAACAACCGACAGCAACACTGTGTAAGAAAACTCGGCCACCTGTAAGAGCAGCGAGAACTTTGGTGCCAACGTGTGATGATGGGAATTTAATTCCTCATTTGCTCCATTAATTCAGAGTATTGAAGAATCAAACAGTAGGCTGGTCGCTGAAGGTGCACCCAATATTTTTTTATGTTAGATAATAAAAAAAGACAACTACATAGGTGTTTAATAATTAGTGCTAGAGTAGAGTGAAGAAAGTCTTTATAATAAAAAAATAACTATTTGGGGGCTGGAGATATAGCTCAGTTGGTAGAGTGCTTGCCTTACATGCACAAGGCCTTGGATTCGATCCCCAGCACCACACACACACACACACACAAAAAAAAAAAAAAAAAAAACTGTTTTAATCAGCTTTTCATCTCTGTGACAAAAAGACCTGATGAGGACAACTTAGAGAAGGAAAAGTTTATTTAGGGTCTCAGTTTCAGAGGCTCAGTCTGGCTGATTCTATGGCTTTGGGCTCTGAGATGAGGCAGCACATCATGGCAGAAGGGTGTGACAGAGAAAAACAGCTCAGGACACAATAATCAGGAAACAGGGAAGGGGCTACAGGGAAGATGAACCCTTCCAAGGCACACTCCCAGTGACCTACCTGCTCCAGCCATGCCCCACCTGCCTACAGTTACCAGCCAGTGAGTCCATGTAAACCTGATTAGGTCCCAGCCCTCATAATTTAATCATTTTATCTCTGAATATTTCTGCACTAACAGAAGCTTTCGGGGGAAACCTCATGTTCAAACCATAACAACAGCAAAGGCAGAAACCAAGAAGGTTTTTTTTTTTTATATTTGATAGATATTTGCTAGATTTCAACATCTATATAAAAATACCATGCCCTCAAAATATAAAGGCAAGGGCCAAAATGGTCAAAAATATATTTATAATGTACATGATGGGAAAGGACTGAATTTTAAATACCTTAAACATCCTTACAAATTAATTTTTTTAAACACACAACAGAAAAAATAGACAAGCCTGTGAACAGATTACAAAAGAAAGTCAAATGAGAAACAACTACATACTATATTAGCCTGCAAATTCAGACAAGTGGGCTGTTTATTTGAGTAAGCTGCCATCACATTAGCAAGGATTTACAGGATCAATAATGGCTACTTGGGAAGGGACAAAGGCAAGTAAAGACATTCATCGTTGTAGACACATACATTCTTGGAAGAGCACATTGGCTATACTTGTCAAAACCTTGGAGAAAATCATACCCTTTGGCAGCATTTAAACATTTATTAAGGTTGTTCACAACTGCATTGTCTAATGTCATGGGAAAATGCTCAAGTTGACAAGTGCCACAAAACAGCATACGCACGATGAACTCTTTTGATGAAAAAAGTGATAAGGATGATTATGTGATTATGTATATCTTTTAAAAATGTCTTCTTGGTGCTGTTCAGAGTTCATGAATTTTCTATGGTGAATATTAATTTCAGAGAGCAATCAATGTTTATCTTAAAAATCTCTGATATAGCACATGCTTGTGGAATAGAGCATACATCCTCCATGAAATAGAGAATACATCAAAATGCTACATGTCTGGTCAAGTGGAAAGGTATGGCTGACATGGTCTTTGCATAAACAGCATCACAATGTATTGACCTCCAGTTTGGACCAAAGAGTTGGGTCTGCTGAGGATTATATATACTGCCAAGGACAAGCTCCTGTTGATTTCACCTTTTCTATCCTTGATTTACTTTGATTTTATAGACTAGCTATTATAGAAGAAAACACACACTTAAATTCAAACTTGTTTATTACAAGGGTTTCTATTTTTTTCTAATATTTTAGTTAAGGATAAAGATAAGAAAGGGAGAAACCCCCTAGATATTACTCATATCCCAACTTGATCCATAATATAATTTTCCTAAAGCCCTGTAAGGAATGAGTCTCAATCTCCTATTTAGAAGTCAATATCATGGGGACATATAGGTAAATAAGTAGATATAAAATTGCTTTCTTGCTTAACAATTTTCAAGAAATAAAAGTTTTTCTTATTGCTGACTTTGTTATGCTCAATAATGAAAACATTAATGTATTTTTGTTTTTCAATTGAGTAGGAAGTTGATGTTATTCTATGTTGTCAAGAAAGAATGAAGCTACATTTGGATAAGGCTATTGCCCAACTTGCGTAAGAGCTTTACCTCTTTATACGATTTAAAAGTTACCATTGATCTATTCTGTCATGCCTCCTATTCATATTTTTCTTAGCTTCTTATAAGAACACACACATGCACACACATATTTGTATTCAAAGGTTAAGACGAGAGCTTGGAATATTTGCTTTAAATTTTTTTAAAAGCAATAATTCTGAGATTCTATGGAAAGGATTTCTGCTTTCACTGGGAATATGTCTTAAGATTTTTCAATTCAAAAACCTTTAATCTCGATAAGAGGTGGACTTGTGTGTGCTCAGCCCTACCAGTTGGTAAATTCGTGATGTGTGGCTTGCTTATATTTATTTTTCATCCCTCCTCAAAGACTCTTCTTCCCTGATTATATCCTCACAGCCTTCACTATATCCCCATGGCAATTTAATTGTTTATTTATCTTTTTAATTTTTTTCTCACTGAGGTCCAATCTCAGGAGATTGTCTTGGATCTATCTTTGAAATACATGCAGAATACAGTCACTTCTTGCTTCCTTTAATGCTGTCCCCTAGTCTAAGACACCACCATCTCTCACCCAAGTCACTGGAGTGGTCTCCCAATGGGTCTCTTTGGGAGTCTATAGGCAGGCAGCCTATTCTTAGCCTAGCACCGGAATGATCCTTTTAAAATGCACGCTGGTAGTCTCCATTTTTATTCGGAGGGAAGCCTGACCATTTCCAATGGGCAACACAGCACTGCATGATCTGATTCTCCCTTTTACAAGACTTAATGTAACATGGGGAGACATTCTCTTGGTTATCCTGTTTATGATCATAACTCACCCTCTTAGACCCCTTGATCCTACTTTGCTTTTTGCAGTTCTTCTAATGACATAAACTCCTTTCATTATGTGTATCCCTCTGTTTCCTCCTAGTAGAGATAGCTCCTTAGAGGAGAGATGTCTCTTTCATCCATGGATACATCCCAGGCTCGCAGATGCATGGTGCCTGGCATGTAGTAGGCGCTGAATGATTATTTGCTGAGAAAACTTATTCCAAGAACAAAGATGTAACTCACCTATCAGTTATGTTCACCCCTCACCCTTGGCTTGTCTCTTCAGGAGTGAGCTGTGGGTCTGCCTCTATCTGGCAGGGAAAGCCAGATCAGAGCTCACCTGGGTCTCTTTCTAGAAGAGGGACTGCTGGAGTATAATGCTAGAGAGGTCTTTGTATGCCATTTCCCAATTACATTTATTATAATAAAATTTGTTATCTATTTAATTTTTAAAAAAAATAATGCTAGAGAGGGCACCAAATTCCTGATCTGTCTGTTAATTTGTTTTTATCTTTTTTCTTTTTTATGGTACTGGGGATTGAACCCAGGGCCTCACACATGCTAGGCAAGCATGCTACCTCTGAGCTACATCCCTAGCCCCTCCTAATCTCTTTTAAAGAACTCCTTAGCTCCTTCCCTGGAGGTTAATTTTGACACATGGTTTATATCTCCTGGCTAACTTCTTAGCCAGAGCGTGAACACAAACTGAGGTCGTGGATGGACAGAGGGAGGCTTGGCTATAAAGACCTCATAATTTCTTGGGCAATAGTCTATACTCAAAAATAGAGGAGATGATGGTCAGGATATAGCAGAGGAAGAAGGAGAAGGAAAAGTAGGCACAGAGATGAACAGATAACTTTAAACCAGTGAGCTGTCAGGAACGGTTGTGTTGAGAAGATGCCTGGCTCCTGTTTATCTACACCTCTCCCCAGTTCCACTCCGCCCCAGGGCAGGATAGTGTTCCCATGACTCACAAGTAAGGCTACCTCCAAAGAATGCTTCTTTTGATTGGAAAGTGGAGTGTGTGTGAAGGAGAGATGAGGAGAGTGAGAATGAGAGCCTGGCCATAGGAAGCCTCCCCCCCTTTTTTTTTTTTTTTGTGGCATGGATGCTAAGGTTCATTTACCCATTTCACGTTCCAGAGCTAATAGAGCCGCCCAGCACGAGCTGGAGAAGGACCTAAGCGATAAACAAGCAGCTCAACGGATTGATGATAAATGTCACCACCTGCGCAACACTTCAGAGGGTGTCAGCTTCTTCCGTGGAGTGGAGAAGGTGGATGCGACGTAAGTCAGGCACATGCTATTTCTGTGGCATTTTTTTTTTTTAAATGCAGGGCCACTGTACCATGGAGCTATCCCCACCCCCATCCCTTTTTATTTTATTTTTTTTTATATTGAGACAGGGTCTTGCTAAATTGCCCAGGCTAACCTTGAACTTGAGATCCTCCCGCTTCAGCCTCCTGAGTAGCTGGGATTATAGGTGTGCATGACAACTCCCAGCCACTTCTGAGATTTTTTTTTATGTCATTCATTCATTTATCTATTCCTTCCTTCCTTCTTTTTTTTTTCAAAATAAGACAGTTTAGGGTTGTCTTAGTCAAATTTCCCTTGTTATAACAGAATACCTGAGGTTGGATGATTTATTAAGAACAGAGGTTTATTTGGCTCACTGTTCTGGATACTGGGAAGTCTGAAGGCATGATGAAACTTCTGCCATGGGCTTTTGTACTGAAAAGGAAAGGGCAAGCAAGCATACGTAAAAGACAAAGCTTGAGGGGCAAGTTCACTAACCCCCACACCTGCTGCAGTGTCCTGGGGATGGAACGCAGGGACTCATGGAGGCTGGGAATTGCTCTGCCACTGAGATATACCCCTACCCTTTTTAATTTTATTTTGCGCAAGGTGTCCCTTAGTTACCCAGGCTTACCTCCAACGTGTGATCCTTTGCCTCAGCCTCCTGAATGGCTGGGATTACAGGCAGGTACCACTGCACTTGGGCTCACTCATTTTTATAATAACCTTCTTGAAGGAAAATTAACCAACTCCCATGAGAAGTGACCCATTTTCTCAAGAAAGACATTGATACTTCTTAATGACCTAATCACTCCTTAAAGGCTTCCCCTCCCAACACTGCCATGATGGCAATCAAAGTTCTAACAGGAGTTTTGGAGAGGACACATCGTATTCAGACCGTAGCACGGGTCAGATGTCTGGAGGTGAGGGACACACCCAGCTTTGGTTGAGTGAGCATTCAACAAGCACATCCTGCAGTCAGGCCTTGACAATTACATCATCCTGTATCCTTTGGAAAAAGAATATTTGTTTTTTATTGTTTGAGCTATGGAAACTACACCTACGTGCTACAGAACCTCAAGATACACAGATGAGCACAAAGAAAATCACATGTTGTTACTTCTTGGATATCCTGGACTCTGTGGTAGCCTGAAAAAAGCCAAATCCTTTCTTACTACTGCTAGTTAAACTTATCCTGTTAATGGTTTTTTTTGTCAGGCTCCTGGATGCAATCTTGAGCAGAGTTCATGGATTTGGCCAGCCAATAACTTTAAAGATAATCCAATTGATTGAGGTGAAAATTTACATATAATAAAATTCATCTAGTCTAAATGTAGATTTCAATGGGTTTTGACAGATTTGAATGCCTATGTAACAAAAACCACTCTGGAGCTATTATCTTTTTATTTTTTTTTTCTTTTTTGTCGTTGTAGATGGACAGCATGCTTTTATTTTATTTATTTTTATGTGGTGCTAAGGATCGAACCCAGTGCCTCACATGTGCTAGGCAAGCGCTCTGTCAGTGAGCTACAGCCCCAGCCTCTCAAGATAGTGTCTTTTTATCAGTCTCCTCAAGTTTTCCCATTTTTCTTCCCATACTTATGTCCCCGCCCACTTCTAAAGTGACCCCTAAGGGGATTCTCTCCTCTGGAATGCTTTACCCTCCATATCCTGCCCCCACCTCCGTTGGCTCACCTGTCCCAGCCACAGTGCCAGTTACCAACTTGAACTTTTAAATTCTTCAGGTATGAGTAAGAAGCAGACCTTCTTCATTAATTTTTTTTCTGCCTCTGAATTGGCAGAAGAGTTAGTTTATGCTCTGGATTTATAGAAAATGGGTTAGGAATAAAATAAGGAGCAATTAAGAAAAGTTTAAATAAGCTTTGGGACGGGTGACTTGGGGGGTTTCTCTTTCACAGTCTAAGTGGTAGCCTGCAGATTCACTAGGCTGATTCATTATTGTCACCACTATCTGGATGTCCTTCCCTTTTTTTTTTAGGGTCTCGGTGCCTGAGTCCTGGGCCAAATTTACAGATGACAATATTCTCCGCTCTCAGTGTGAACGGGCAGCTTCTGCCAAGCTAAGAAATGAGATTGAAAACCTTCTGGTTGTGACTGCCAACGAGATGTGGAATCAGTTCAACAGAGTGAACTTGGCTTTCACCAATCGAATTGCTGAGACTGCAGATGCTAAGAATAAGATCCAGGTTCATTTATCAAAGGTAAGTCAACCACATGTGGTACCCCTTACCTGACCTGGACAAGGCAGGGTGCTCTGGGACCACAAATCTCTCACCACTCCCAGAAAGACACCGTAAGGCACATGCCTTCCTGGCCACGTAGAGTAGGAAAAATTAAAAACACTACAAAGCCTACCATTTATTTCAGCCAGGTAGCCAGGTGTCAAAATGAAATTGGAACCCACTGGTGTTTGGAAAACAAAGAGTGCACTATGTAGGGAAAAAGGTTTTTTCATATTTAATGAAAACAAAAATATTATTATTAAAGTTTAATGGCTCACTTTATATAACTAGAAAGTGAATTTATTACTATAACATATGGTAGGAGTGTTTTCTGTTCAATGATTTCAGACCCTTTTTCTGGACTATAGAACCAAATACAGGAAACTATTAGGTAGTTCAAAGTGTTCCTGATGTTGTAAATGTTTAAGTACTCTCAATGTAAGGGTTTTACAATGACAATAAAAGAAAGTCATATGGTTCGAGATGAACAAATAGCTCTTTCTTTATTTAGCATCATTCTTGTAACTCTTCAGCATTTCTGGGGACCATGCTGCATGTCCTCGGTCATTTCTTAAGAGCCTGACTCTGCTATTTTGTTGCTCTAGGGTGGTAATGCCCAGCTCAAAGTGGTTTTCCAAGGCTACAGCAATTCACAGTTCCTTCTCATGCTGTCTTCTTTATGCAGCAAATACTAGTTGAGGCAGACAAGTTGCTCCATTGTGAAGGGCAGAGAAACTCAGAATGTTGTTTTTATTCCCAAGAAGCTTGTATTTGGGGAGAAGAGATTCGTGCATATGAAAAAAAAATGAGCGATGCATAACAATAGGAAATTACAAATCGTGATCACCAAATAACAAATGTGGAAAGTGTTTTCGGGGTGTGGAGGGAGAAATAAACATTCCAAGTAGGACAGCATCCTGAATGAAGTCTTCGAGCTAGCAAATCAGAGGTTAAGTTCAGGTCTACGAAAAGGCCATTGTGGCTGACCTGGACAGAGTGTGTGGTAGGAGAAAAACTTGGAAAAGTAGGTTGCAGTCAGATTATAGAAGACATTGTTGGGAAGGTGAATAGGGTCAGGATGCATTTTTAAAGGTCTTTTGGACAGCTGATGTGATAGAGTTCCTTTTTTAACCAAAGTGTTTTCACTACTATTTGAGTTTGTTAGGCAACTGTAACAAAGTATCACAGTCTTGAGTGGCTTCAACAAAGGAAAAAAAAATAATTTTTTCACAGTTCTGGAGGTTAGAAGTTTGGGCTTAAGGAGTCTAATGTTTGGTTTCTTATGAGGCTTCTCTCTTTGGCCTCTAGGGTGACATCTTCTCCCTGTGTCCTTGCATTATCTTCTTTGGGTATTTATCTGTATCCACATTTCATCTTCTCTGGGTATATATCTGTATCCAAATTTCCTCTGTTTATAATGATACCACTCATACTGAATTAGAACCCACTCTAATACTTCTGCAGAGACTTAATGCCTCTGTAAAGACTCCACATATGACCACATTCTGAGATACTAAGGGTTAGGACTTCAACATATGATTTTTTTTTTAGGAAGAGATGCACAATTCATCTCATAAATACATGCAAGGTAGTATAACAGGCACGTTGGGGATATATTCATCTGAATGTCACATTGATCTGCACTCCTATGTCTTAGAGTGGGATAAGACATGCACATAGAAAGGTTGGTCCACTGGGCAGAGTTCAGAAAGAACCACTTGTAACTACAGACAAAATATTGAGATTGTTTAATAAAAGGAGTGGTTATTTCCATTGGTGAGAAACAGGCATGTCCTTATGGAGTAGGTGACATCTGAAGAAGGCTTTGGTGAAGAGAAGAGTGTAAAATGATTGTTAATGGGTTGCTGAAAGCTTGGGAGAGAAGTAGTCCAGGGTTATGTGTCAGACTTAGGAGCTCCTGAATTATACAGTGCTAAAAATGTGCATGACTGGGTAGTTCTCTATGGGGGGGGGGAGAAAGGATGTAGTGTTGGAATTGCCCAGACAAAACTTGCCCTTGGAATAAATGAGGAGTAGGTAGAGAGCACAGCAGGTGGACAGAGAAAAGAGACAGGTTTCCAGGACAGGGAGCTAGTCAAGGCCTCAACTTTGACTTGACAGGCAGTTTCATGAGAGCAAGGAGGAACACAGACAGAATACAGGGGCCACCAGGAGATTAGATGGGTAGGAAGTGGAGAGAGTGTTCACAGGCCATGACTGAATATGTTTGTCACTGAACATAAGCAGAGAGATGGGAGAGGAGCCTGTTGGGGTTGAGTGTGAGAGAGGCAAATACATGAGAAATTTTTTTTTAATTTGGTGACACTTGGGCATGTCTGTACCTAACAGGGAAGGAGCCAAGGGGAAGGAATAAGCCAAGATAATGGGGAAGCTGTGGAACTCTCAGAGTGCAAAGATCAAGGTGCTGAGAGAAGCAGAGAGGAGGAGAAGGAACCAGGAGAGGATCTAACTTTTTGCAATTTGGGGAACCTCTGTAAGACACAAAGATTAAAATCAGGGGTAAAAAAACTGCTGACGCTCTTCCCTTGCAAGTGAGTTATTGGAAAGCTGAAACCCAATGAGCTTCAAGGCAAACTTTTGATAGCAGGAAAACAACTCTCTTAAGGAGGACAGAGAGACAAGGATATCTTGATATGAGGAGCAAGGTGAGGGCCTTTCAAATCTCATGGGCCCACTTTCCTTTCTTTACATGCAGATGTGCACTGGTTAAGTGATTAATAAGGGGAGGGTGATCCAGAATGGTGTGCACAGTGAGAAGCCCTGATCTGTAGCAGCTGCCAGTTTCCTACCCTGGTCCCTTTCCATGTGAGGTCACTGAATCGAGACTTGGGAAGAGAAGCACACAGTGAGCTCTCTAGAGCCCATCCAAGCAAGATCCAGCACCTCACTGCAGATTCTCTGGGGGAAGGAGTAGGAAGAAACGTGGTTCTCAGTGAATTAGCTTCCTTCTCCTCTCAGGAGTGAGGCAGGTGGCCAGGCAAGAGGCCAGATGCAGGTTGCCAAGAGATTCATTCACACAGAGCTTTAGGTAATGGCTTCTCTTTATCACAGACACTGCAGGAGATTTTCCAGACGGAGAGGACCATAGAATCCATCAAGAAGGCCATCAAGGAGAAGTCTGCCTTCCTGAAGGTGGCCCAGACCAGACTGGACGAGCGGACGAGGAGACCCAATATAGAGCTCTGTCGAGACATCGCTCAAGTACGGTAAGGTGGAGGGTGCACACCTGGGCGGGAGGGGAAGGCACCAGGCTTACCCCAGTACAACCCATCAGCTTTCTATAGAGGCAGTTTCTGACAACACACATCATGTAGGTGCCTCTTTAAAAGTGTTAACAGTGGCGAATTGTGGAATGGACGGGTAAGTTACCGTTTGGGATGATGAARGTGCTTTGGAGATGGATGGTGGTGAGGGTTGCACAGCAGTGTGAATATACTTACATCACTCAACTGGACACTTTGCAATGGTTAAAGTGATAGATTTTATGTTATGTGTATTTCGCCATGCTTTTTTTTTAAAAAAAAGGAAATAATATCAAAACTTCACACACACACATACACACACACACAAAAAAATGTGTTGATAAACATTTAACTCCTTCAGGGTGTTCAAGGTGATGTGTGTGTTTCTGAGAACTACCCTGGAGTCTTTGGAGTTTCCAGCTCACCTATCTTTACTTGTAGGAGTCAGAGGCTATTGGCTTTCTATGTATTTCTCAGTGTGGGGGATCCTTGTGAAAAAAAAAAAGATACTTTTGGTACCGATTCTTCTGACCGTCCCCACTCATTTGCTGTCTGTGGTCTCTTTTGGGCATTAATATCTGTTCTTGCCATTAAGTTCATCCTTAGGATCCTCTGATTTTCCTGAAGTTTGCATTTGGGCTTCCTTTAGTATTTTCTGTTCTCAGTAGAAATAAAAACAGCTGGTCTTCATCAAGCTCAGCTTTGGCATACACATGGCAGGAAGGGTCTGACTCCACAGTCTATCTACTAGACACTGCATGAATCTTATTATTATTTAAACTGTAAAGACCCCCTTTTAGCATGTACTTCTAAGAAACTAGCCAAGATTCCCTTCATCTCAGCCTCCTTCTGGCATCCTTTCCTATTTCTCAATACCTGTCAGCCTGCCTTTTCTCTCTGGAGTCCATCATCACTGTCCTTAGGTCATGAAGCACTCCCTACAGATGTGAGTCAAATGGATAGTTCATGGAGGAACAAAAGGGCTATGCTTGGACTCCGGAAGCCTTTCAGATGCAACTTGTCAGGTCTCCTACCTGGTCTCCTGGCGGAAGTTCCTTATCATCAAGAAGGATTTCTCCTAAGGATAAGCCTGTTATGGACACTGCTGCAGAGAACAGCCATGGTGGGAGGCAGTGAGCTCCTGGAGGGGRAGAGGACGGGACCTTTGTGAGTGAGGTCAACAGTGGTGACTTTGATGACCATCATAATAATTAAGATACTGATGATAACTATGAAAGCAATGACAATAATAGCTGCTCCTATATTTCATCTACTCTGTGTGGAGCTGGGTTGATCCTGGGTAGTATCTTCGTTTTGCAAATGAGAAAACTACAGCAGGAGAAAATTGAATGCCTTGGCCCAGGTCACATCTGGTGGTAGGTGAGAGCCATGGTTTAAATCCTGGCCTGTCTTATGACAGACAATGATGTTTTAGTCATGGGGAGTTGGGAGGTAGTGAGATACCATAAAAGCAACTCTATTCAACTAAATGATTCTCTTCTGCTTCCCCATCTTCTATAGTATATCATGCTTTATCCGTCCTTGGCCATGTCTTTGATCTCATTTGACCTTCTTAACGCCCGTAATAGATGATGTGACAAAGTAGGTGAAGCATCCTTGTCTCCTTTTCTCACAGAGGGTCACAGAGGAGATCAGTATTGCTTAGCACTCTCCATGTGTAGCACCCTCATGGAAAGTCAACACGTGTTGTCATGAAACAGGCGTCAGAATATGCAGAAAGTTTGACTTAAGAGCTTTTGACTTAAAATGCCCTGAAAGGATACCCATTCAGCCATTCTATTGTCCACTTCCAGTGCATAATTTAATTATTTACAGGAGATAGTCAAGACTCAATGATAAAATATACTCTGTGTGGGATGATTTTGCCCAACTCTAGGCTACCGCGAGTGCACTGAGCATCTTCAGGGTAGGCAAGGCTGGGCTGAGATAATCAGTAGGATAGGTGTATTAAATTCACTTTTCAACTTACCATATTTTCAGTTTTCCATGGATTTATCAAGACATAACCCCATCATAAGTCAAGGAGCCTCTGTACACAGATTTCATTCCCTAAATTAGCTTCACATAGGTGCTTACCCAGGCTGCATGGTTCTTAAAATGGGTTCCATAGAACCCCTCTTCCTACAGAGCACATTATTTGGGATAAAGTGCCCTTCACCCCCAGAGGCTAGAAGTGACTCAGCACAGCCAGCCTGGAATGTCTCCCTGCTTCAGAACATACCCACTTGGCCAGTTAAGCTTAGGTCACAAATCATGATTTTTGGCAAATATTAAGAGAAGCTGAGCTGATGTTTTATCCTCCAAAAATTTCTGTAGAATCATCAAGTAGGGTTAGGAATAAATTATTTAGCCAGCAATTGGACAAACTAAGAATTGCTTTTTCCTTTGACCTGCTAAAGATGGAACCCAGGGCCTCACACATGCTAAGCAAGCTCTCTACCACTGAGCTATATCCCCAGTCCATAAAAGGTTTTGAGCAGCAGTTTAAGATGACTTTGGATTGACCAACGTCCTAATGATTCCACAGATTCCTCTGAGAGGCAGAATGATTTTTACTCTCTTTTCCCCCTTTCCCAGCTAAATGGAATTTGCTTTTTCTTTTGCTTCGTTAACTTCCTAGTCTATCTATTCCTTCTGTTCCTTTATTGATTTTAGGACAACACCTCCTTTTGCTTCTCTCAAAATTTCCCGGATGAATATCCTTGCCAAAAATATTTAGGATTACTATTAGGGGGAGAGGATCATTTTCCTTCTTAACCTGGTCATTCTGAAAGCAACCATTTAGCTCTCTAGATTAAGAAAAAGCAAAGATCAGTGGAGTGTCGATGGAGAAAAAATTGCTGTTTTCATTTCAAGACTTGTATTTTCACTGAAAATATTACAAATGGCTCTTTCAAAAGTGATTCTAAACCTCCTTGGCATCTTTGGTGATAAACTTTACATAAATAATCTTGACATTAAAAAAAAAAACCTGCCCCAAATAGTAGCTTTACTTGCATTTGAATGCAAAGTGATTTTCACATCTGTAATTACAAAAAATAAAAATTGAGTGCCTTCAGTAGACTAGTTTTCTACAATCTACCAAGAATAGGAAAACTGGTAGTTAGTGAAATATAGCCTTGAAGATGGTGAAAAGATGTGTTTCTAATGGTTCAAGTTGACAGGGAGCATGGTGGTAGCCCCTAGCTGTGCTCACAACAGTGGGGAGACAAAGACTTTTACTGTCTGTGTTCTGTGGATCTTAAATTCTTTTCTTTTCAACATGATATTTTAATGTATACATTTTCAAACAATCCCTCAGATACATTTTCCACTGGACTAGAATTTGGCCATGAGGAGTAAAGAATCATTTATCACCCCGCTCTGTTTCTTACGTTTTTCGGTTCAGGGTTCCTTTTGAAGTCATCGAGGGGTGGGAGACGAGAGGCAGGCCCCATGGTTTGATAAACAAACCACCGTCATAAATCCCATTCCCAGCCATCCGCAGCAGCCTCTCCAAAGCTCTTTTTCTTTGCTAGAGATATTTTATATCTTGGGATCTTTGGTTAAAAAAAAAGGCTTTCATTTTAATTCAACTTGCTCTAAACAGCAGCAACAAAAATATGCTTTCAGCTGAGTTCTCAGATCTTGTGTTCATCCCCAGACCCAATGAAACTTGGGCACTTAGTTTTAGTTTCTTGCCTTCTCCACTGGGATGGAGAAAACAGTACAGTTTGTCAGATGAAAGGAGATCATGGGGTGGATATTTCCACTGCCTGCTTTTCTTCTTTTTTTTTTTTCTTATGGGAGCTGACAAGTGCCCTTACCCTCTGAGGCTAGATGCAGTGACCTCAGTAATGGACATCTCCAGATTCTTCCTGCCTTTGCTTCTTCCATTTGGTCTTCTTTCCCATTGGCTCTTGTCTTCCCTTGTTCAATTTTATGGATTTGGAGCTTTGGGAAGCTCCCTACCTTTCAAGCCTACCTCCTTCACCCAAGACATGGAAGTTGGCCCTTCATTCAACTGTACTTTTTGCAAACCTATGAGCTCCAACCTAAATAACAACTATGATGGTTTGGTGTATCTCCTTGAAAACATTCACAATTTGTCCTTTAGGAAAAGAGAAGCATAGGGATTTTTTTCTTTTTTTTTAGTACAAGAATTCTTGCTCTGATTAGCATCTTAATATTCTTTGAGACAAGCCCACTTTGTGCCAGATAACAAACTGTCCTTTGGGCAGAGTTGCCAGATTTTGCAAATTAAAACACAGGACAGCAAGTTAAATCTGAGTTTTGGATAATCAAAGAATATTTTTGCATAAAAGTACCCCAATTATTGCATGCAATATTTATATTAAAACCACTTAAGGCTAAATGGAAATGCTTGTACTGAATTTTTTCAGCAATAAAAAGAGAAGTGACTGACACATGGTACAAATAGAATAAACCTTGAGGACATTCTGCTCGGTGTAGTAAACCAGTCACAAAGGGATAAATACTTTATACTTCCACTTATATGAGGTGCCATGTGTAGTTAAATGCATGGAGACCAAAAGTAAAATGGTGGTTACCAGGGCCTTGGGGAAGAAGGAAGGGGAATTGAGTTTCATTTTTGCTAGGTTTTTGGTGGATAATGGTGATGGTAACACAAAAATATGAATGTATTTAGTGCATTGAACTGTGTACTCTTAAATGGTTAACATGGTAAATTTTATGTTATGTATATTTTTCCGCAATTGAAAAATATACTTGCACCAAACAAATTACTCATTTGTCTGAAATTCAAGTTCTTTTGGGCATCGTGTGAGAATTACTAATGGAAAGGAATGATGAGAGGAGTCATCCTCCAAGGAGTCCAATGCCCACAGAGGACAACTTCCTGGTTCTCTGCTTCTTCTCTTTAATTTCAAGGAGCTGAGGCAGGGGGCAGGAAATGGTACCCGGTCCTTAGTATAGCCACCGAGGCTCCACATTTCCTTCTCAGCTTCCTGAATAACCTGGCCTGGTTTATAAACACATGCGGGCTGTATATTTGAGGAGAGGGCAGTTCATCAATCCTCCAGGCTCAATTTCCTCATCTGTAAAACAAAGAAGCTGGGTTCGACCATCTCTGAACATTCCTATTTCAGTTGCAAATCTCTGTGAAGCCACACAGTTGCTTTGGTATAAAGATTTTCACGTGGTCTGGATGTTTTTTCTGACATCACAAAATCTTTTTCTATTTTTAGGGACATCGTCATCCCTATTTGTTCATAGTCATTGTCCTCTTTGTATTTTTAACTTCATGTCAATATTCAAATAAATGAGCTCCCAAAATAAAGACAATTATTGTAGGTTTGCATCACTGGTTAAAATGTGATGTCCAGCCATCTCTCCATATCCATGGGAGATGGATTCCAGAACTCCCCCTCAGTTACCAAAATCCACAGATGGTCAAGTCCCTTAAATAAAATGGTGCCTTATTTGTTTATGACCTAAGCATATCTTCCTGTATATTGTCATTCATCTTTAGATTATTTATAAATACCTAGTATGGTGTAAATAGTTGTTATCCTGTATTGCTTAGAGAATCATGACAAGGGAAAAAAATCTGTTCGTGTTCAATATACATGCAATTTTTTCCTCTGAATATTTTAGATCTGGGGTTGGTTGAATTCACTGGATACAGAATCTGAAGCTATGAAGGACGGATCATACTTGGAGTATCATTTTTAACAGTTTAGATTCAGAGGAGTAGTAATTAAAAGAAGCTGATCGGGAGTTCCATACAAAACTAAAAGAGTTACCTAAATTCCTGGTACCTCAGATTTGTCATCTGTACAATGGAGAAAAATCATAGTATCTAATTCTTAGTGTTTTTATAAATGTTAAATTTTCTTATTATGTAGAGCACTTAGGATAAATATACATGTGGTGAAATAGTCAATAAATGAGCTGTTATTTTCTTTTTTCTTTTTATAACCTATCCCTATTCTTTAAGGGGTCATATGATCACACCATTGGGATTTTATTGGGGCATAAAGGGAGCCCTAGTTTAATTGCTCTTTGGGGAAGAGAAAGACTTTCTAAATATAAATACAACAGAAGAAATTCCAAAGGAAAAGAGGGAAATATTTGGCTTACTAAAAATTGAAATCTTATGCATAACAAAAAATATATGAAGTCAAAAGGCAAATTAGGGAAACATTTTCCACAAGCATAACAGTAAAAAAAAAACAACAACCATCAATATGCCTAATATATTTACAGAGCATTATGCAAATAACTAAGGTAAATAGAAACATCCCAATTGAAAAATGAGCAGAAGACAGGGAGAGGCATTTAACAGAAGAAATGAAAAAATGGGTAATAGACATTTAGGTAAAATCTACTAATAATACAAAGAAATGAAAACTAAAACAATGTTGATTAAAATAATTAGAAGAGATACCAGATGTTCCATGAAATCATAGCATTTTTCCTTTCTATTTAATGAAAAATGCATGATGTTTTTCATCATTGGAACACAATTAGACCTGCAACTTGTTTCACAGTTTATGTAGCTGATTTCATACAGTATCATTTTCATGTTGTATTGAGTGTGTGTGTGTGTGCTGGGGATTTAACCCAGGACTGCTTAACCATTGAGCCACATCCCCAACCCCTCCTTATTTTTTATTGTTTTTATTTTGAGACAGGTTCTCACTAAGTTACTGAGGACTTGGCTAAGTTTCTAAGGATGGCTTTGAACTTGCAATTCTCCTGCCTCAGCATCTAGTGCTACTGGGATTCCAAGCGTGTGCCACTACACCCAGCTTGTTTTTGACCAATATAAATGTGTTTACTCTGGACCTAGTGGCATTCCTTTGGGATGGTGCTGGGAGGATGGACATTCAAATTTGGGGAGTGCACCATTAACTGCCCCCCGTATTGGGATATGTTAGCAAATTAGGTAGAATTCTAGCCACTAAAAACAGTTGGATGTCCCTCTGCTCTCAACTATAAAGATAACTTTCAATGCCAAAATAAATATATAAAAAAATCTAGCTAAGTTTTCATTTTCTCCAGTTATACTATTTAAAAAAAAAACAAATGTTTAGAAGTTGCCCTCCTTTTGAAATATAATAGCTAGTATACATTTATGTGCATATATAAAGTGTGTATGTATGTGTGTGTATGTAGATTTTATTTCACCTTTTCAATTATGAGGCATAGTTAATAGGAACAACCCTTATATGATACTAGAACCGTGCACAAACATTGCTTTCTTTGCTATATAAAGTTGTGCTGACACTGGAGTAGTCCACGAGCTGCGAGGGATTCCATGTGTCTTGCAGCATGGCAGACACATCTCTGATAGGAATTCAGTCACCACGCATGCCCTTAATTTAGCTAAAATCAAGCCTTAGGAGTGTGGTACCTGCCAATCTAACCATGCTTCTTCCCTCCTGCAGCCTTGTGAATGAGGTCTATGAGGTCGATGACACCATCCAGACCCTGCAGCAGCGTCTGAGGGAAGCGGAGGACACCCTGCAGTTCCTGGTCCACACCAAAGCTACCCTGGAGCATGACCTGGCTGTCAAAGCCAATACCCTGTACATCGACCAGGAAAAATGCATGGGCATGCGCAAAAGCTTCCCCACCACCCTCCGACTGGTGGGCTACTGTTAAGGACCCTGCCGACAGTGGTTTTGATCCTCCTAAGCAAAAGGAGAACCAGGGCCCTGACTCAGCATTTAACTGAGTGCTAATATATATTCCCATATTAAAGCATTGTATTGATAGAAATATACCCATCTCTTGTCTCGGAAAGATTTTTGTGCGTGTCTAAAACCTTATTTTCTGCCATCTTCTAGGCTTCTGGGTTATGAGGAATAAAGAAATGCAATCAATTAATGGAGAAGTCAGGCAAGAGGATTTGTTGAATTCTTATTCTTTCAGTTAGCTTTTTTTTTTTTTTTGTGGCTGTGACACAAGACCTGAAAAAAAAAAAAAAACCCGCAATTTTAGAGCAGGGGAAAAGTTTATTTTGTGCTCACAGTTTCAGCGGTCTCAGTCCACAGATGACTGGCGCCATTGTACTGGGACCACTGTGAGGTAAAACATCATGGTGGAAGAGTGTGGTGGAGGGAAGTAACCAAGGACAAGACCCCAGGAAGCAGAAGTAGAGCTTCACTCACCAGGGACACAATGTAGACTCCAAAGGCACATACTCAGTGGCCTATGTCCTCAGCCATACCTTACTGCCTATAGTCATCACCACTTACTTAATCCATTCAAGTGGATTAATGCAGGAGATTAGGTTAAGGCTCTCAATCAGTTCAACCTCTGAAATGTCTTTTGTTGTCTTACACAGGAGCTTTGGAGGGACATCTTCTATCTAAACCATAAAACTTACTCTGTGTTTAACATAAATGGGCTGGAAAGCAGGACTGCATTTTCTGTGAGCCACTCAGGTCAGGAACCACAATGCTGTAGTTTGGAAGTTGAATGTCCTTCAAAGGCCCTGTGTAAAGGCTGGGTCTCTCCTGTAGTTCTATTAGGGAGGCGTGGGATATGAAGCCTGGTGAGAGGTCCATTGATTCATAGGGCTGTGCCCTGCCCTTGAAGGTGATTGTAGACCAACCAGTTCCTCTTTTTTCTTTTGTGGCCAAGAGGTATGCAGGGTTTTGTTTTTGTTCCACTTCTCTTTACCATTGCCTCCTAGAACCCCAGAGACCCAAAGCAATCAATCAACAGATCTTGGCCTAGCACCTCCCAAACTGTGACCAAAATAAACCTTTTCTTTTTATAAGTAAATTATCTCGGGTACTTTGTTATAGTGATCAAAAGCTGACTAGCACCCAAAAGCAGGTTTCATTTTGAGCTCTGCCTTAAAGGACACATAGAAGTGGAAAGGTATGATGCCTAGAAGAGAAGGGTCGGGGTGACTTTCAACTCCAGTTTAACAACCTGGGGAGCTGACATTTCCCTACCTAGAGACCCCTGTCAGCCCCCCCAGTTTGTTAAACTGGAGTTGAAAGTCTCCCACCCCCTTCTCTTCTAGGCATCACAAAGCATTGAAAGTTTGAAATGGAGAAATGGTAATGGACAAAGGAGACATACAAAACATAACAAGTAGACAGGACTTGGGACATCTTTACATACAGGGTGCTAAGGGACCCAGGATGACAAAAAGAAGTTGATCCTAAATGGGGTGAAAAAAATGGAGAAACTGCTTGCATTCCAGAAGACGCTACAGTATGTCAAAGATTATTTTTTGAAAATAACTTTTGCTATGATTGGAGTATGTCCCTCAGAATTCATATACTGGAGACTTAATCCCCAAAGACATATGTTAATGGTATGTTCAAGTGAGGCCTTTGGGGGGACTGATTGAGTCTTGAGGGCTTTGTCTTCAGGAATAATCAATCCACTCATAGATGAATGATTTTTTTAATGAATTCTCCACGTTATGATATCCAGTTATAGCAACAACAACATTTTTGATCATTTAACCTTATTTTTTAACTTTTATAAAAACGTATTTTAAGGCTTTTTTTCCTACTTATTTTTTTTAAGAGTTGCCAAACTGTCAACATGACATTTTTGTTCTATATTCTTTGTCTCTTGCCTTTACATTGTGTGTGTGTCTGTGTGTGTTGTGTTGTGTGTGTGTGTGTGTTTAAATACAGAAGCAAAAACATATAAATGTATTCTGTATGATTTATACCTTTGGGGTTATTCTCAGAAAACACTTTCTCGTTCTAAGAGTATGTACTTCTAATTGTTTTACAATTTCTTAAATTCCACTTATCTGTCTGGAATCCCTCAGGGTGGTGTGGGCTGTATACTAACTTTGAATTCTTTAGCTCTGGAAATTGTGAAATGGGAAGATGTGACTGTAGAAGGCAGAGGTTTTCTCTCTTTCATATTTCTCACTACTCCTGTGCCCCTCCCTGCTGCCCCCATCCTATTAGCATTTCTCTCTGTAGGCCTGCATTTTTCTTGCTCTGCCTTAACCATTAATTCCAAACTCCATTTTCTCCTTCTCTTCCCCCTCCTCTGCCTCTTGATGTGTCTCTGCTTTCCTCCTCCTCTTCTCCCTTCTCTCTTTTCCTCTCTCTCCTTCTCTCTGTTTCTTAAAAGTGCTTTAAGACCTTGGTTAGTCAATTTCACAAGACACCTGAAAATGTCAGAAGAGCTGACATATGGATGATAAACGGGCACTGGGTCTATTTTTGTTGGCTGAGTATATCATTTTGGCAATTAAATTGTAGGTTTTGTGATTCTCCCTTTGCTTCTAATGGAAAGAAAGACATATGGATGCCACAGAAACGTTGACCAATTAGAGTAATCAAATGTTAGCAGTCACGATGGTATGGGTTCTCAAAAATATAAATTCCACATATCTCGTACTTCTTGTGCTTGGAGACAAGCTTCCTGATCTTTTCTATGAATGGCATTATTTTTAAGTTTTTTTTGAGCAATACATGCTCATGTGGTCTTTTTACTTAAGTCCATATTCCTGGCATTACAAGACTGTGATGGGAAGAAGTATGTAGTGCAGACATAGAAAAAAAAAAGTCTAGTTTTCTTGTTATTTTGGTAAACTGTGGGCAAGGCTAAATTCTGCAAATAAACATTTGGTTTCCAGCTTAAAACATTGCTGCTGCTTTGTGAGAGCACTTATTCCAGCACTGAAGTTTACAAGCAGCCAAGACTTAGAGAATGTTATTATATTTAAGAATCTCAGGACTACAAATATCTGCACATGATCTGGCTTAATCTACTTAGGCCCAAACTATCTTTAATATTATGTGGCCTCAGAAGGGGTTGCTGGAATGCCCAAGGCTTCCACTCACCCAAGCATCATTCAGATTTAGAAATGTGTGTAATTGCCCCTAAATAGCCAAGCCACCTATAATTTTAGTAATTTCCATTTATGTCTCTGGAGAGTGTTGTCATAAACACCTCTCACCTAGCCCTTTCGCCTCCTGAGTTCATGCTGTAAATAGCTGAACCATGGAGTCTAGTTTTAGTTTATAATTTTTGTTTTACCCTTTGTGTACAGAGCACATGGTGGTGGTGGTGTTGGGGTGGGGTAGAGCTGCTTCTTGTCTTTGTACCTCCTGTCTTTCCTTGCGGCTTCTTTCTGGCCTTGGCTCTTGCACCATTCCCAGGAGGGCTGAATGCACCATTGGTTCCCATTGCCAAGACCAGCATTGCATGCATAGTGCTCCAATAGTATTTCCTGAACCCTATTATTTTAGCTTTCCAGTGACCTACTTCTTCCAGCCACGCTCTACCTGCCTACAGTTACCAACCAGTTAATCTATATCAGTGGATGAAACCACTGATTAGATTAAACCTGTCATAATCCGATCATTTCTCTTCTGAATATTCTTGCATTGTCTCACACATCACATATGAGCTTCTGAGGGGACACCTCCCTGGTCTCTGGTGGATGAGTAGCTCTATGTGATTGAGTGGAAGATATATGAGTCATTTAAGGCTTATGTATTTAATTGCCAATGTGAGACTCTCTAATATTTTATTTCTTTTTACATAACAAACCAGAAACTTTTGAGATATTTTTGAGTGAGCACAATCAGCAGAATTCACCTGATTGCACACTGTGGCCATGTAACACAGGTAAGAAATATATCTGTATTTCTGAAGCCACTGATACTTTTGGATTATTTGTTACTGCATCCTAATCTGGCCTATCCTAACTAATACGTCAGCCAAAAGAAACTGATGAGGGCAAGAACTCTCTGGTGGTTGGTCATTTTCCACTGTGAATTTCAGATTCTGTCCTTCTCAGAAGGCAAGCTGTAGTGTTGGCCAAGCAATTGAGCATGTGCCCAATGCATTGCTTAGAAATAGCAGGCTAAGACTAGATCTTTTGCACTTATTTAGAAAATAGGACTAGTGGAGGTGTTCCAAGCATAGAACAGGTGACCCAAAGCTTTAGATGTTTCCAAATCTGAGCGCCAAAACAACCCAAGGCACTTGAGTGTCAATTCTCTGAAAGGCTGTAGATCTGGGATGGCAAACTCAAATGCTGAGAGGTCCAACCAGAAGACTGTTGTTCCCAGTATAACTCTACTATAATAAAACAACAATAATAGTACTATCATGAAGACAAGTGGCAGCTGATATTTAGCCACTGAACTGGGGAACATCAGAGAGTGTTGGGGGAGTGAAGAGGAAACCTAGAATAAACTGAAGGGCATGTGCTCAGACGAACGGTATCCACCATTCTTCTCTGGCCAATTATCACCAGGAATGTGTCTCTGTGGGATGGAATATCTGTATCCTGCTATTGAAGTTATTGAATCCCTACTAAGAGTCAGAAGGCTCTGGCTTGGGGAGATGACTAAGGGCAAGACCGAAATACTACAATGGTAACTTTATATACCTATTTTTTTTAACAACTTAATAAATAGAACAGCTGGGCCAAGGATCCCTGATTTTAGTTTTGGAGCTTAGATTTATGATATTTGTACATCAATTGTGGCATTGATGGCTGCATTGGACCTGAGATAAACTGAGGCCTGAAATGCCTGAATGTCTCAAATGGAAAAGATCACATGATGCAATCTTAATTAGCTGTACCCCTATAACATTCCAGGAGAAAATGGGGAATTGTATCATTCAGGGGAAAATAAGATCTATAAAAATGACTTTAAAAGTGTATGGTTGTTGGAAATCAAGAAATATGACCATTGTACAATATACATCCATGTCTACACAAGCAGTATTCTAGTATAGTTTAATTCTGTTGATAAAAAGCAAAAAGAGCTTGAAAT